CCCTCCCCGGACTACCTACCAGACCACCCCAACCCGACCCGAAGGCACGAATTTGACCCGACTTTCGGGTTGGGGGGGGTGTACGGGGACCAGGTGTTTTTCCGATGGTCCCCGATCCCTGCCCCCACTGGAAATGGAGGGCAAAGTGAGGCCTTCGGGTGGGGTTGGGGTGGTTTGGTGGGTGGTGATCCCCCCCCCGTCCCCTCCCACTGCGCAGAGCGCGCCTCTGGCCGCGGGCGCGTGCCATGGCCGACCTGGCGCCCCAACAACGAACGAACCGCCGCGCGGTGCGCGACGGGCAGCGCGGGAGCGGCGCACCTGCGAGGAGGAGGAGGTGGCGGATGCTCGGGCCGGGCGACGGGGGGGGGATAGCAAAGGGGGGGGGGGGGGAGAATCAGCTCACGCAGCTGAATTTCCTGGCGCTTCCTGGCGCCGGAGGCGGCTATGTATCGAGGAATGGGCCCCTCGCTGGGGCAGAAACCAGCTGCATGCAGCAGACTTCGTACCCCCCCCTTTCCCTATTATCCCCCCCTTTCGTTCGGCCCGAGATGCGGGAGGACCGAGGGTCGGGAGAAGGAATCTCACCAGCCTGGAACATATCTCTATCCCTATGCCTGGCACCTCCTCATCACGATGCCAATCTTAGGGATTCCCGTAGTTTTTGAGGGCGAATCCCTGAGATTGTCATCGCCTTTTGGCGTGTCAATCTTAGGGATAGGGATACTTTCGAGGCTGGTAAGAATCCACTCCTGGGAGGTCGCCGACAGCACGAGCGAGGACCCGGGGCTCGGATGTTCGAGGGCCGCGCAGCCAGGGCCGGCCAGACCGGGGAGGGACTGCGCGAGCGGCATCCAGCAGGACCGAGCCAGGCTAAGCTTGGGAGCGGCCAAGAGGGGGGGTTCCACGAAGGGGGGGGGTCAAATCATGACCGGCGGCACGTGCGCGGCCCAGCGGGGGGGCCAGGGACAGAATGAAATAGGAAAAGGCGCCATGAAATCTGGGGAGATATCACGGCCCCCGCCATGATATCCACCCCCCCTAGTCATCACCCCCCTCTTTGCCGCCCCCGATGGGCGGGATCTATGCCGGATTCGAACAGTATCGGTCACGGACATACCACGCCGATGCTGAATTGAATCTCCCAATCGGGTCCTCCAAAACAGAGGGACCCAAACCTCCTAGTGTTTCTTGAAGAACGAAGCCTCTCACGGCGGAAATAATGTGACAATCTTCGGCCTCTGGGGGGTCCCAGCGGCGTCGAAGGACTAGCCGGGATAAGAAGCAGGTCCCGCGAAATGTGTTCGATAATCCGGAGCCTTCGGAGGCCTCCGAGTACCTCCATGGAAAGAAGCGGGGGTCAAGGCTTTTTGGGTCGGGCTCTTTTGGGACCCTCGGAGGCCTCCACGAATCGAGGCAAGCAGTCGGCGGAAGTATGGACGGACACCAAGGGAGAAGGCAAGCCTCCTCCACTGCTGCGCGGACCCTTTCATCGGCGCCCATTGGGACCCGAAGAGGCCCCGAACCGATGAAGACGAGGACGAGAACGAGGACTAGGACGAGGACGGCGACGACGACGACGCTAACGACGATGACGACGACAACTACGACGACGACGACGACGACGACGACGACCGACGACGACGACGACGACAACAACAACGACGACGACAGAGGTCACCCGAGGCCCCCAAGAGGGAACCCAGAAAGGGCCATCGCCGTTCAGGACCCTCGATCCTCCTCCCCCAAGAGAGAAAGAAGCGCACCACCACCACCACCACCCACAGGATGGAACAAGAGGGTGGTACGGGGTGGTTGTTTCGAAGGCTGGGGGGGGGTGAACGGAACTGTGCATGCAGAGCGAGGAGGCGGAGGAGGAGGAGGAGGCGGAGGAGGAGGCGGAGGAGGAGGAGGAGGAGGAGGAGGAGGAGGCAAAGCTGCGCGAGCTCCTGCAGTTGTAGAGGCCACGTGTGAGGCCCAAAAAACATCGCCCGCCCCCCGCGCTACACCCCACGGTCGGGCGCGGCCCCCGATGGCTGTCCCGCGGGCTGTCTTCAATGTTTGTCCCGAATGGTTGCCCCGATGGTTGCCCCGATGGTTGTCCCGATGGTTGTCCCGATGGGCGTTCCGAAAATCCTTCCCATAATTATCCCGACGGCTGTCCCGATGCTGGTCCAGGTGGTTGTCCCAATGGTTGTCCCGATGAGTGTCCCGATGGGAGTCCCGATGAGTGCCCCGATGGTTGTCCCGATGGTTGTCCCGATGGTTACCGCGATGGTTGTCCCGATGGTTTTCCCGATGGTTGCCCCGATGGTTGTCCCGGTGGTTGTCCCGATGGTTGTCCCGATGGTTGCCGCGATGGTTGTCCGTGGGTTGTCCCGACGGTTGCCCCGATGGTTGTCAAGATGGTTGTCAAGATGGTTGTCCCGATGCTTGTCCCCATGGTTGACCCAATGGTTGGTTGACCCGATGGTTGTCCCGATGGTTTTCCCGAGGTTGTCCCGAATGGTTGTCCCGATGGTTGCCCCGATGGTTGTCCCGATGGTGTTCCCGCTGGTTATCCCGATGGTTGACCCGAGGGTTGTCTCGATTGATGTCCCGATGCTGGTCCCGATGGTTGTCCCGATGGTTGTCCCGATGGCTGGGCGCGAAGACGCTCGGCGCGAGCAGACAGCCAGGCGTGCGATAGACTGCCGTTTTGCCCTACGCGGTCTCCCAAGCCCCGACCCTCTCCCCGAGGCTGGCTTTCCATCCGAGCAAGTGCTCGACGGCCCCCGGTGCCGGGTAAGGGCGCCAAGGGTTGAGCAGGGACCGACCGTCCCGGCATTCCGATAGTCCTACCACGAGATGTTCTTGGGACCCAGAGTTTTCCGAATCACAAACGCAATGTGCTTAGAACATGAACCCGATGTGATAAAACATAACAGACTCCGCCAGAAATCTTCTAACATGTCGTGGAAACCACAAAAGGTTCTTAGAACATTGTTTGGTAGGGCTATAGGCGAGCCAAGACACTTCGCCACTGCTTGAAAGGAACGGAAAATTGAGGAACACCCTCCGTCAAATGTTTGTTGCAGGAAGTTGCATGTCGCCCGAGGCGACAGCGAGGTCGTCCGCGACAGCTATGGGCTACTGAAGTGTACGGACCTGCATGGCTGCCTGAGCATTCTCATCGCGACGTCTGCCTCAGGAGCCACAAGTGCCCTTGCCGTCCAGCCCACGCACCCCTCAGGACGCATGGCTCCCTTGCCTGCTCGTATGCATGTCTGTGAGCTGCATCGCCAGGATCTCCGGGGCCCTCCCGGCCCGCCTGCCTGTCCACCTGGCCTGGCCCCTCTGCTGACCCCCGTACTGGACAAGAAAACAAACGACACCACCACACCTACGACTCCAGGGGCCTTAGCATATACCATGACTTCCGGCTCGGGCACTTGCGAGGTACGGCCCCCGATGGGCCGCAGCGCAGCAAGGAGGGCCGCAGGTGGGGTGGTGTCGTTTGTTTCTTGGCCGTCGTGCGGGGCCGGCCCCGCCGGCCCCGCCCGGGGCGCGGCGGCGCGGGCGCCGTGACGTGGTCGATGCCGAAGCCTTCGGCGCCAAAATCCGCCGAGGCCCTCCGCCCCTCGGCGCTCCCCGGGGGGGGCGCCTCCAGGTCTGGCGGAGGAGGAGAACAAGGCAGGGGAGGAGGAGGGAGGAGGAGGAGGAGGAGGAGGAGGAGGAGGAGGAGGAGGAGGAGGAGGAGGAGGAGGAGGAGGAGGAGGAGGGAGGAGGAGGGGAGGAGGAGGAGGAGGAGGAGGAGGAGGAGGAGGAGGAGGAGGAGGAGGAGGAGGAGAGGAGGAGGAAGGAGGAGGAGGAGGAGGAGGAGGAGGAGGAGGAGGAGGAGGAGGAGGAGGAGGAGGAGGAGGAGGAGGAGGAGAGGCGGAGGCGCCGCCTCTCGGCAAGCCGCCCCGACCACTGGGGCGGGCGCGGCGCCGAGGCGCTCAAACGTGGGCATGCCGACGAGCCCTGCGCTCGAAGGCAGACCACGCTTTCGGGAGCTGGCAGGAGGTGCCACGTGTCACGTGCTGCGTCGGAACGTGCTACAGTCGGGGCCTTGACCTAAGGAACCCAAAACAAGGAACGAGGCACCGTTTTTCCATAAGTTAAACTTCGATTTTCCGATCGAAAACATAAGGAAAACCTGAGGCAAGCTGCGAAACACTTAAGGAACGCGGAGCCCCTCCCCAACGAAAAGGGTTCCTTCTTCAGGGCCCCGACTGTAGTGCCAAGTCGGTCGGAATCCCAATGCCCCTCGCGCCGAGGAGAAAACACGGCGGGAAGAGATGGCTAACCGTCTTCGGCCTCTGAGGGCCGTGGACGGTTGGGGTCGGACAGCCGGTCGCGGGAACGGGGTCCCGACCTCTGGGCGTCCACGTTGCGGAAAGAGTCACGAGGTCGGGGCTTTGGGTGAGGACCATCCCTCCAGCCCCTTGGGCCGAGGTGGTCTAGCGAGCTCCCTCTTCCAACTCCCCCTCTTCCCCTTAGACGAGAGAGAGAGAGAGGGAGAGAGAGAGAGAGAGAGAGTCATCACTGTCCTTGGCTATAATACACCCCCTCCACCAAGGAGGAGGAGGAGGAGGAGGAGGAGGAGGAGCAGGAGGAGGAGGACTTGGAGGAGGAGGGGATCCCTGCCAAAGATCATACCAGATGCACTGCACGGCAGAATCAGCATCGCGCTCGGGCACCCCGCGATCTCACTGTACATCAAGTTGGGTTGGCACGTTGCCCCGCGTGCGCAGGCCCGCCATCCCTGGCACACACACATTAGGAGGCAACTGCTGGGAGGTTTTCGTCGGAAAGATTAAGGAGGATTAAGCCCCATTTGGGAGCTGTTCCGCCGGAATGGGCCTCGGATTAAGCGGGATTAAGCTGGATTAAACGGGATGAAGCGGGATCAAGCGGGATTTAGCTGGATTAAATCGAATTTCGGACCAGGGCGAAAACAGAATTTGACCTCCCAGGAGTTG